CAAAGAACCTAGACATTTCTTGTCTCGGAGAATCATTTCTGGTTAACAACGAGTACGCCGACTTCACCGTAAAAGCTCCATCCGCTGTACCACACCAAGACAACCTATCCCGAGCCCCCGTAATGCTATCAAGCACCACCGCGGCCAACTCCAACCGTGTATTTTGCGGTAAGTACGGCATTATACTCTCAAGTTTCCACCCCGAGCCTTCAGCCCAATACTCTGTTACCCGCAGCTCTCTGTCTTCACTAGGTACCTCCCTTATCGCTTTCTCCAGCAGCGACTGATCTGAAAGCCACTTATCCTCCAAGAAACGGATTTCCTTACCATCACCTAACACCCACCTACTTCCGCGGGTCACCACTTCTCTCAAACCTGTAACCACACTTCTCCATGTTGATGAGGCTGGTTTCTTTTTGTCCATCCATCTTGGCTCTTGTAACCCACCAACTTTGTACTTGCTCCTCAAAACCCGAGCCCACAAACTGGTTTTATCATTCAACAGTCGCCACCCGACTTTAGCCACCAATGCTGTGTTCATATGTTTTGAAGACCGGATACCTAGCCCTCCTTCTCGCCTTGGTACACAAACTCTGTCCCAGGCCACTAGATGTTGTTTCCTTCTTTCCGGTGAACTCCCCCACAAGAATGATCTAGCCAACTTATCAAACCCCTCCAAAGTGGACTGTGGTAGACAAATTACACTCATTGTATGAACCGGAATAGAAGATAGAACTGACTTGGTTAAGGTCAGTCTCCCCGCAAAACTCAACGTGCGGCTCTTCCATCCGGCCAGTCTTGAGGACACTCTTCCTAAAACTTCTCCAAAAGTATCCTTGTTAATCCTCTTTTGAAGTATGGGCATCCCAAGGTACTTCCCCAAATCCCGAGTTGATTTAATCCCACTCTCGTTGCTAATCAACTTTTCCAAGTCTCTGGAGACATTATTAGAGAAAAATATTTTCGATTTTTCCAAGCTGACTTTCTGTCCCGACGCCACGCAAAAAGTCTCCAAGATATTCCTTATAATCCGAATTTGAGCCACCGAAGCCTCCGCAAATAAGATTAGATCATCGGCGAAACAAATATGCGAGAGTTTAGGCCCACTTTGCGATAGAGCAATCGGCTTCCATGCCTTCATTGCTATGGATCTATCAATCATATGACAAAGTCTTTCCAGACAAAGCACGAATAAATACGGTGACAGCGGATCACCCTGCCTCTACCCACGGGATGGCTTAAAAGATTCAGTTTGTTCCCCATTCCATAGGATACTCATCGACGGACCCTTTACACAGTTCAAGATCCATTGTATCCAACTCTCTTCCAACCCTGCTGCCCTGAGTGTATCCTCTAGGAAATCCCACCGTATACGATCATACGCCTTCTCTAAATCCAGTTTCAAGAGCATCCAACCTTTCCGCCCTTTTTTGCGCCTCATCGAGTGAACGGCTTCTTGCACCACCACGATGTTATCCAAGCTAAGCCTTCCCGGAATAAAACTAGACTGAGCTGGCCCAATCAATTTCCCTATCACCTTCTTCAGCCTCAACACCATCATCTTTGTAATCGTCTTAAACAAGACGTTACACAAGCTTATAGGTCTAAACTGATTCATCCTCTCCGGCTTTGTTACTTTGGCAATAAGAACGACCAGCGCATCATTCAAAGATGGAGGTATAGTTCCCGATGCAAAGAATTCCAGCACAAACCTTGTAACAGAATCACCCACAATCTCCCAACAATTCTGATAAAAGATGGGCTGATATCCATCGGGCCCTGGTGCCTTATATTTCCCCATACTCCTCACTGCTGCCTCAACTTCCGACGCCATAAAAGGTTTGTTGAGAACCCGAGCCTCCTCGCTCGTCATTCTCTCAAAACCATCCCGCGGTAAGCCTTCCACCTCCAACGGGACATCATCCATAGAATACAACCGCTTATAGTAGCTCACGGCAAGATTTTCAAGCTCCTCTGAACTCGAAATCCAGGTGTCTTCTTCATTACGCAACCTCTCAATTCGATTCTGCCTTCTTCGTATGATAGTTGTCGTGTGAAAATAATTTGTGTTTCGGTCCCCAAGCGCTATCCACTTCTCCCTGGACTTCTGAAACCAAATTATTTCCTCTTGCTCTAACACCACATCAAAAGCTTTAATTAACTCCTCCTCCTTTCGTAACAAAGCATCGGTTTGGATTAGATCCAACGCATCTTGGGTTGCTTTTATTTCTCTCATTAACTCATCCTTCCTCTTTTTCACGTCACCAAAGACATCTTTATTCCACTGCTTCAGCCTAATCCGCAGTTCTGATAGCGCCTCCGGCGTTTTGATGTTCCCATTCCACGATGTAGCCAACATCTCTTTGAAACTTGAATGTTGCATCCAGGCTGCTTCAAATCTGAACGGTCTCCTTCCTGGATTACGTTCTACCTCCGGGCATAATTGGACATATAATGGCGCATGATCCGATGCTAAGATAGGTAAGTGGGTAACTCTAGCGTCCTGCCACTTCAAACGCGTATGAGCACAACACAAAACTCTATCCAGCCTTTTCGCCACACAAGTATCCTCAACTCTTCCTCTTCTCCATGTGAACTTGTTTCCACAGAAGCCCATATCTATGAAAGATGCATTGTTGATCCATTCTCCAAATGCAAGAGAGTCCGGCGAAAGTCTCCCATTTCCACCCGATCTCTCATCCAATCTAACAATGGTGTTGAAATCACCTCCGATGATTAGCGGTCCATCAACTCCACTTAGAACCTCCGTCAACTTCTCCCATAAACCGCTACGCCTACTGGCAGAAGGAGCTGCGTAAACAACTATTAAATTCAACACCTCTGTTCCATTTTGCAATTTTGCGAAAATGAACTGTTCTGAGGACTCAATAATCGTCAAATCACCAATCTCCGATCGCCATAAAAGCCAAATACCTCCACTCTGGCCCACAGCATCTACTCTGAAAGATTTATCAAACCCTAGCCCTTGGCAAATCCTTCCCGCTCTCTCTCCTCCAGCGTGCGTTTCAAACAGAGCGAGAAGATCAGTTTTAAAATTCTTCAACATATAGCGTATAGCTCTCCTGAAGTTGGGTTTATTCGCCCCCCGGCAGTTCCATAATAGACAATCCATTAAAAATTGTAAATGTTCTTCCAAGACTACCGGGGAACACCATCATTGTCTCTCTCCCCCAGCCCCTCCGTCGGCCAGACTCTCATTTGAGACAATTGCTGTGTCATCCACCATATGCTCCGGCGGTTCCGTCGAGTTAGTTGTTCGTGCCTCCTCCGAGTTTGAACTTTCCCGACCCACGTGCTCATTTCGCTCCCTGATGTACACACCACCAGACCTCCCAACATTTCCCGTTTCAATTCGTAGTCTTTTTCCACTAGCAGCTAACACTGCTTCTGCCTTAGTGGGCCCAAAAACTAAGCCTCTAACGGGCTTGTGCACAACGACCTGCTTCTGTTTCGGCCCATTAGGCTCAGTACCCTTTGGCCCACCAAATCTTCTCCCTTTCGACCCATTTTGGATCCCGCCTTTTCCTTTTTCAACTTGCACATTAGCATTAATGTCCGTAACTTAAGCAGCACTCGTATCATTCCTTCTCTGTACCACCCCATATTCATTTTCCTTATTTGCACCCGCCAAATTCGCAACTTTCCTAATTTCTGAGGATCCTGCATCATTTTCCAATCTTCCAAACCGATTGGATATCTCCATCCCCTGATTTGTCGGGATTTCTTTAAGACTCTGTTCCGATCTTCCACCCGATGTACCCGCCGCAAACACCAACTTCTGCGCCGGAGCACTGGGGCGTCGACCCGATCGCCGAACCACCGTGAATCCATCATCATCCGCCCTAGCCGGTACAACAGATTCTTTTGCCCTTGTCGGTACAACAGATTCTTTTGCCTTATTCACCTCTGCTAGAACAATTTCCCGATCTGCAACCACTTTTGGACATGCGTGGATAAGATGTCCATACACTCCACACCCCGAACAAATTTTTGTTAAGCCCTCATACGCAACGAAGTACCTTTCTCCATTAATTAACACCGTCCCTTTTAAGGGCTTTGACAAGTTTACTTCGACACAAACTCTGGCGAATCTAGCCCTTTCAAAATTCAGCGTGGTACCATCTACTTTCAGTGGCTTCCCCAAACCACGGGCTATTCCCAGAAGAATCGACCTGTGGTAGTAGTTCACCGGAATGTTCATTAGCCTCACCCACACCGGAGTTGTAGTGATCTCATCTCTTAACGGATCAAAGCTTGGTGACCAGTTCTGAACCAACAAGTAATTCCCGAATACTCTCCATGGACCTCCAGTCAAAGCCGCCATATATTCTTCATCTAACTCAAATCGGATCATAAAGAATTGTCTTGGCAGATCCATTACAAACATAGCCCCCGTCGGCTTCCATAGCTCCTTCAACTTCCGACTCAACACCGCAATTGGGATCTGGCTCCCCAGCACTTTCACTATCATACATCTCTTCCACAGCCCATTCATTGCCTCCAAAACCTCATCTCCAATCGTTATAACCGGCTCACCATCCTCTCCATTTGGGAACTCCAAACTCACCCGCTCTCTCACAAACTCATCATTCAGCACACTCTCCGGTATCGCCATCCCACCCCCGGAGCTTCCTTTCACTTTCGCTGCCCACAACCCCGATGAATCCGGTGGATCTCCTGGTGGTCTCGCCTTCTCCCCCACATCCATCATGGTCTCATCGTGTTCACTCGCCGCTGCACTCGCTAGAGCACCCGCACCCGCACTCATAATGACTATAGCAAGAGAGTGGTAAGATTGATATAAGATAAATAGTAGAAATTTGTGGTGATATAAGATTGATATAATTTTCTTTTTGAGTGATCTCTAAGCTTACGTCTGCCGTTTCTTTTTTTGTTTACACCATTTGTTTATGCTTAAAAAATGATTATTTACAATCCCTTTTACATATACACAAAGAAAAGTTTATTATTGAAGTAAAAAGAAAATAATACTGTAGTTTATTGTCATCACCAAAAGTTTTTGAATATTTGTTATTATTTTCCCGAAGACATTTTTGTATCCGGCACCGTCGAATTAAACCTCCGGAAAGCTTTGTAGAGAGATGTCGATGGGAAGCGATACGACGTGGGTTGGGAAGAAACCGATCAGGCGCATCGGCGGATTGTCTGATGCTCTCTCCATCGCCTCCGATCTCGGTTTCGCCGTTGCTCCTCCTCCGTCGCAGGTAACTTGCTAAATCGCTTCTCTTATTTACTGACATCTCACCTGACATTGACGTTGCAGACGAAATGGTACCAAATAGATCTGTAATTTGAAGGAGAATATGTTTCAGAGGATTGGGGCAACTTTAGCTGCTTGTGAGTTATTCGAATTTTGATTTTTGTTTGGGACAAAGTAGATCTTTGATCTCTGGGCTTTAATATATATTGAATCTGAATTCAATTGGCTACATTTGTAAAGAATTCGTATTTATATCAATTAACAATGTGGTAAGCTGTAACACATATTGAATCGGCCTTGAGAGCTCAGTCATTTCCAATGTAGGAAGAATTACAAAGTTTGGCGTCTTCTAATGGCGAAAGAGGTGACGATTTGATTAGGGTCTTGAGAGAGTTATCTGCTGTTCAAAGGAAAATTGCAGATTTGCAGGTCGAGCTTCAAGGGAGGAAGGTATATTATTCAGAGTTTTGTTTCTCTTTCAAAGTGTAATAAGATATGGATCATAAAATCTGCATTGCGTAAAAGCTGCTTGATAACTTGTCACTAAATCTCTAACAGGTCATTTGTTAAATGCTTTGTATATTATAACTTCTTCGTTGACAAATTTCAGGATGATAAAAATGTGGCACATTTGACTCATGTGAGTGAAATGCAAAAGAAAATCGAGACCCTGTCAAGGATTACTCAAATATTGAAAGATGTTATACAAAACAAGGTAGAGATTTAGTTTCTTATCTAACCAGTTCATTATCTCTCTTTTCCGGATTTAAGCGACAATCTCTTTTATTCAGTATATACTTTATCGTTTTGAAAATGGAGAAACTGGAGTTCTTGTTTCAGATGTTTTGGGAACATTAGCTTCAATTCGTGAACCTCTAGTTGAAGTCCTTACATCATTTGTCTGAATATATAACAGGATCGCATCATTGCTCGTCTCCAACAACCTTATTCCCTAGATTGCATTCCAGTTGAAGCAGAATATCAGGTGAGCCATGATATTTGATAGTATTTGCTACTTTGAAAACCAATTGAGCCTTATTGCTCTAGGTTTCCTTAACTTGTTTTGGACCTGAAGTTGCACAAGTGGAAAAAGAAGATGCTCTATCTAATGGTTTTGTTCTGCTTTGGTTTTCAGAAACAATTTTCAGAGTTGCTAATGAAAGCTGCTAGTGACTATGGCGCCTTAACAGCATCAGTGTCTGATTTTCAGTGGAGCCAAAACTTTAAAGAACCTCCTTCGGTCTGGGGGTATGATTCTACTCTCTTTTACCTGCATCTTTGTGTTTTTACTATTCGCATCTTTCAGACATAACTTCACATTACATATATTGGTTTACTCATCTCAGTTGGAATCTAATACATTGTTCATAGTGTAAGAGGAAAACTCTATACTAGGTTACACTACGCCATGCTATCACTTAAATTGTGTATAATTCATAGAATATATTTTGAAGAGTCACGTATATTATACAAGTCTAATGTGTAACCTCTGCATCCTCGAAAATAGATCAATTGTGTCATCGGGACCTTGAATTAGATTTCTCTTTTTTTAGTCTCTTTGCATAAAGAGAGAAAGAGATTGCCACTTTTATGAAATGTGTTGCATACAGTTGATTTCAGTTTTACATGCTATAATCTCAATCACCCTACTTTTTTGTTCCCCAAAAACAATAGGAAATGCTGCGTCCAATACCCGTGGCACTAGCGTCATGCACGAGATTCTTTGAGGCCATGTCTGCGATGAGAGAATCATTTGCGACTCTTCAAGACCTTCGAGTTGGCAACTCTGCAGTTTCGTTACCAACAACACCAGGAGGTAACGAAATGACACATAGAGACTCTGATTGTGTGACTCCACCTCAAGGGAGAATAGAGTCAAGCTTCGACGACTGAGCTGTTCAGACCAAACGGAGACAAAACAATGATCAAAATGAAGCAGAAGAAGAAGAACAAGAAGATGGAAATAACAATGCGAACCGGAGACTATCGTGGCCTCCTTCTGTAAAAAAGAGTAGCGTTTAAACAGTTGCTTCTGTCTTTGCTTTGAGGTTTTTAATATCGATTGTGTTTTGTTTTTATCAGCATTAGTGTCCTTTATGGATTTGAATCTATTTGAAAATCTTTGAGTGAAACTTAACAGTGTATATTTTGTTAACCTTGGTTTTCATGGGCCACATGGCTATCATATAAATTAGAATTTTCATAGATGTGGGAATTGTTTTAGTCGAATATTTAAAGATGGTTCACTAAAAGAATTAGATATAAATTCATAAGCAGAATGCGTTCCACTTATTAATTCGTATGGTCTAAATAGTATAGAGTGTAGACCATGAATTTAAGACAACTTTAATTTAGTTGAGAACCGCACCTAGTAATATTTTAGCAACCTAGTTACATAGCCCGGTCTGGTTTTAAAAGTAGATCGTGTATTTGGAAAACTTTAAAGGCAGACTATTATTCTCTAATCCTGGGAGACACTGCAAAATTCAAGATATCCAAGAGATATGAAGGAAACGACGGAAGAGACGGAAGAGTGTGAATTTCTTGTAAAGACAATTCAGTAGCCACGTTCGGAATCGATCAATGCGTTCTTTCTGCACTTCAAGCGGTGAAAAAAAAGTATGATGCTCTGTTCTATTTTTTTTTTTTTTCCTTTAAGAATCCTTTCTGAATTCATATACGCCCTCTTCATCTCTTCTTTCTCTGGATTTCCTGGCGGACATCAGCAAAACCATCACTCGAAATCGTCGTAACATTGCAGCGGTTTTCCCTATATTTTGCGTCCTGCTTTAGTAGGTCTTCTCTTTCACGCCGGATGTAATTACAACTATACCCAAGTCCTTGTCTAATCACATCATAAGGGAGAGGGATGGGCTGAATAATGTCTCTGCGGCCTTGGTTTAGTCTTCCTAAACCCAAACCATCTTTAAAACCCCAACTTTTCATGATCTGTGTCACGTCACCTGAAAAGTCCCAACATGTAAATTTCTGTTTACTATATGCTTCCGCTTTAGCTTCCTTTAGTCCGGATGTAGCTCTACGCCATGCTTTAGTCCTAAACTTTGTCAAGCTGTCACTAAAACTTCCGGTAATAGCCTGTGACTTCTTTTTCTTTTTGGTGAGCCAATTATCTTCATCTCCACTGCCATTATCTTCTTCTTCTGTCTCATCTTGAAGAGACACAACTGTTCTTCTGTCTTGAATGGCACAAGGATCATCAGGTAATGTCTCTGTGCTTGAATATACCTCAACAGCTTTACCCTTCACAATAAATATTATAGGTTGTTAACTCCTTGTGTAAGATTTCCACTCATTTGAGCTAAGCTTTTAAGCAAACACAATTCGAGAAAGAAGTAAATAGAGCAGAGGAAGAGAAAGAAAGTTACATCCACTTGAGACGACGCCATTGGAGTAATAGCTACGGTGACACTTCCATCACTACCGAAAAAAAAAAAGTCAGAATCAACTAGACCCTAAATCAAGAAATCACCAAACACATTATACAGGACAATCCAATACCAAAAATGGCAAGAAAAAACAAAGGAATTTACCAAGAAGAAGAGGTCCCAGCTTGGCCTTTGTTCGTATAATCTTGCATTTGAGAGTGTGAAGGTAACGACGGAAGAGACGGAAGAGTGTGAATTTCTTGTAAAGACAATTCAGTAGCCACGACTCGGAATCGATCAATGCGTTCTTTCTGCACTTCAAGCGGTAATGACCTTCTCATAAAACTCTATCTTAAACTTCTTATGGATGCTCTAATAGCTTACTGTTCGAGTTGTTGTAAACCGTGTATGTTCCTCTCCTTCTCAAGATTTCCTATTTTTGCATTGAAACTATCACTCATGAACCACGCTCCATCTCTTTGAGTACGTACACGAGATGTCGAGATCAATATTTTAAACAAATTCTCTTTCCACAACAGGAATTCTATAAAAACAAATTGGTAATGAATATATTGGTCTATGTCTCTTAGACTTTTATATACTCCCTCCGTTTCATAATATAAGGCGTTTTGGATAAAGTTTTTTGTTTCACAATATAAGTCGTTTTCGAGTTTCAATGCAAATTATATATTACTTTAATATTTTATGATTATTTATAATATTATGCAGTCTCTTTTATGATTGGTTGAACTTTTAAAAAGTAGATCTTTTTAATCGGCGTGCTTTTAGTTAAAAAGACTTATATTATGAAACGGAAGAAGTATTATTGTTTTAGGCTTCATAACTTCATCTCATTTTCAATGTAAAATTTACTGCAAAACAAATGTTACACTAATTTTTTCGTTATTCAACAACATTATTTTATAATGGCATATCAACAATACTAATACAAACCACTAGTTTCTATTATGTTGGTTGGTTTTGTCGGGTTACTTGCGGTACCTCACGTAGCAGCTCTTTCAGTGTCCATATTTCTCGTCCGCAATAGCATATTGGGTTATCTTCAGCAAATTTTTGGGCCAAGCCCATTCTTGTTTTGAAACGAATTGATTTGACACTACTAGTCTTGGGTTCTTCTTCAAATGTATTTTTGTGAAGTTTGTTGGTTGTGCCAAAAATGTTGGGACATGTAAAATATTTTCACAAATTTTTAGTTATATATTTCTATTTGATTAATGTGACAGTAACATGTTTTACACATCAATAATCTGTTACGTCTCCTGGTTCTTTTTTGTTTACGCTATGCTTAAAAGTTAAAATTAATATATATTTGACATATACAAAAGTAAAGTATTATTATTGAAGTAAAAAAAAAAAAGGTTTATTATAGCATAACGAAATGTTTTTGAATATATTTGAATTTGGTTTATTAACATTTCTGGATCCGCCACCGTCGAATTAATCTCCGGAAAGCTTTGTGGAAAGATGTCGATGGGAAGCGACACGACGTGGGTTGGGAAGAAACCGATCAGGCGCATCGGCGGATTGTCTGATGCTCTCTCTATCGCCTCCGATCTTGGTTTCGCCGTCGCTCCTCCTCCGTCGCAGGTAACTTACCAATCTCATCTCAATCGGAATTTCGTTTCCGGTTTAGCTGAGTATAGTGTATGCTCTGGGTTTTGCTATTAGATTGACTTTGCAGAACAATGCGTATGAGATCTGTAATTTGAAGGAGATTATGTTTCTGAGGAGTGAGGAATTTTAGCTGTGAGCTTTGCGAATCTCTGGAACATATGTTATGATTAGATCTTTGATCTCTTTGGCTTTAATATATTGAATCTGAGAAAATTTTGCCTGAATTAGAGAAGATTAATGGTTATTTATCTGTTTAATTAGCTACATTTTGTGAGAATTCGTATTCATATTGAATCGAGATTATGAGCTCAATCATTTTCAATGTAGGAAGAATTACAAAGCTTGGCGTCTTCAAATGGGGAAAGAGGTGACGATTTGATAAGGGTATTGAGAGAGTTATCTGCTGTTCAAAGGAAAATTGCAGACTTGCAGGTCGAGCTTCAAGGGAGGAAGGTATCTTTTTCAGGGTTTTGTTTCTCTTTTAAAGTTAAATTAAGATATGTGCATTGCCTGAAGCTGTATGATAACTTATTGGTATATCTGTTACTAGTTTCGTTAGCTGCTTTGTATATAACTTTTCTTGTTGACGAATTTCAGGATGATAAAAATGTGGCGCATTTGACTCATGTGAGTGAAATGCAAAAGAAAATCGAGACTTTGTCAAGGATTACTCAGATATTGAAAGATGTTATACAAAACAAGGTAGATAATTTCTCCTTTTTACTTGCCTCTAACACTCATTTTTTTTCTTTTCTTTCTGGAATAAGGTTTATGTATCTTTCGAGTTCGTTTATCTATCTTTTCTTCCTTTAAGCCATATCCCTCTTGTTCAGTACCTACTCTATCGTTCTGAAAATTGAGAAACTTGCTTAAGATGTTTTGGAAACATTTGCTTCTGAGGACGTCTTAAGACTGCAATTGTCTTTGATTCAATTCGTGAACCACTTGTTGAAGTCTATTATATCACTTGTCTGTTCATATCCAATCAGTAAAGTAAGCAAGCGTATGTCAGCCATTATAACCTCTCGCAATTTAAAAGGAAGATCACGGTCACCACACTTAACAAGAACTAGTACATCCTTATACTGGGTTGCTTCAGTGATGTTCTCACAATCAGGTACATGGCTTTCCCAGTGGTCTACCGAGTTATCTTTTCTTTTGGGTGTTTCCTCCATATAGTCAACTTCAACTCCAGTGCTGATTGCCTTAGTTACTCTTCTTCTCTTGTATGGTCCAGTCAGAGGCGGTGTGTGAGGCTCGTTTTCATCATAATCTACAGCAGCATGATTAACGTTGAAGACACTTCTGGCGCAGCAAGGAGAGTCATTTTCAACAGAACGATTGTCGCTGCTGAGGTTGTCATCATCATCAAAGGGAGGAGTTTTTGAGAATTCCATTTCAGCGTCATGAAAAACCTCTCCTGCAAGAGTAACAATACTATAAGCTTATTTAAGCCAGAATCTGAGTATCCAATCAATTTGCTCTACATGTCATAATCTATATATTTATTCTAAGAAAAATATCTAAACGACAATAATCTGTTTTAGCCCAATCAAAATATGTCATGTCACACAAGAGAACCCTTTTTTTTTTTAACGCTGTAATAAGGGCCAAAGCCCGCATGCTAGCCCGTTCCAGCCCTAAAAAAAAGCAGGCTCGAACTTCAAAATATATGTCCAGCAAAATCGGACTTTCGGGCTATCGAGGTTTTTAGACTTAGCTCGGCCGGGTTCGGACTACCCCGAAAAAACCTTAAAAAATATTTTGACCTTTTATTTTGTTAATATGTTCGTTTAATTGAAAGATTTATTTTTTAAAAAAATTGATAGAGTTGAAAGCCCTAAACTTAGTTTTTTAATTGTGTCTTACTATAAATCTAAAAACCAAATATTGGCTCTAATACCTAGTTTGAAGTATTTTGATTTTATATTTTATTTGGTATGAGTTTAAACTATTTACTTGGATTATTTATTTGATTATAAACTTTTTTCTTAAACTAAACTAGTTATTTAAATTTCGATTGACTCGTTTCATACACATATTCTTTTTTTTAAGAGATATTATAAATTATAAGTTTGTTTTTTTGTTGTCGGAAGAAAAGCCCAAAAAAACCCGGAAAAGTCATGTAATCTTGTTAGGGTCGGACTTGGCTTTAAAATATAGGGTCATAATTTTTATAAAACGGGCTGGACCGGGTTCAAAACATATGCGGGTTTTGTAGTTTCGGGACGGGCTAGGTCGGGATAGCCCGATTGACATGTCTACACTTGAGTTTGCCACATCTTTTTTTTTTTTGTGTTTTGAACAAACCATTGCAACCATTTCAACTATTGTTAAAATAATTCAACGGTTGTTGAAAGCACCATTGCATAATGCACATAGTTAATAATATTTTTTTTTTTGACAGCGCACATAGTTAATAATATAAATTTACTCATTTTGAATGGGATTTTAAAAAAATTAAACTCAATATGTATATTTATTGAAATTAAAAACTCAATTCTATCAATTTAATTTTCAAAAAAAAAATATATATCAAATATTTTCCCGCTCATAGAAAATTTTGAAACAGGTGAAATAAACAAAACAGATCTAACTCTCACATTCACTAGAGCGTCGTCGATTCGGAAAATTCACCAACACTTTGTTTTTCTCTCCAAAGAAATTTCAAATTTCTCAGCGAAAAATGGGCGAAGAATCCGAAACCGCCATGGCTTCTCCAGATCGAAATCTAACCCAGAAAATCGCCAAGATCCTAAACGAGACTCGCACATCATACGCTACTCACAACAGGAAGCTAAAGGAACTCGCCACAATCCGTTCAAAGCTATCTTCATCTGAATCCGAGTCTTCTTCTGTTCATCAATTCTCTTCGGTGTTTTTCAAAACCCTAACCCCTCTTTTCATGGCGGCTCAACGAAGAACTGCTGCAGCAGAGCGTGTTGTTCGATTTGCGGCGGAATTTGCTTGTCTTCGTAGGATTTCTGATGGTGATTCTGATTGCGACGAGTTTCTGGAGGAATTTCTAAAGTTTTTGGTGGTTGGATCTGTGGCTGCGAATCGAAACGCTAGATTCAGAGCGTGTCAGATAATTTCTGAGGTATAAGGTTCTTTCTCCTATAAATTGTGTGCTTCAATTTACTAGGCAAAGGTCTATTAGGTCAAATATAGGATTATCTTCGTGTGTAGTGTTTAATCAACTGTTTAAGCGTAGTTATGTTGCTCATACTAGGTGAATACCCGCGCTACATTGCGGGTTCTGATATATGTTAGAAATTGGAATGCTTTATTGTGTGAAATATAATTCTTGTCACTTATTCTGTACATTGTGTTTGTTACAGATCATATTGAGGTTGCCAGATGAAGTGGAAGTAGCGGATGAACTATGGGATGATGTAATCGATTGTATGATGTTGCGTGTTCGGGACAAAGTTCCTGTTATACGTACATTTGCTGTAAGGTCTCTTTCACGCTTTGTGAATGATCCTGAGAATAGTGACATTCTTGATTTGCTACTTGAGGTGCTTCCCCTGGAACAGAATCCGGTAAAGTGGATGTTATAAATCACATTCTCATTTTTGTCATCATGCTTGCCAAAGTCTTATTGCTGATGTTTTTATTGTTTCCAGGAGGTACGCAAAACAATTGTTTTATCTCTGCCTCCTTCAAATGCAACCACCCAAGCAATTATTGATTGCACGCTCGATGTTAATGAATCAGTACGCAAAGCAGCTTACTCAGTTCTGGCAAATAAAGTTCCTCTTCAGAGTTTGAGGTGCATTTGGGCTTAGAGCTTCGGTCTCTTTATTTCTTTCTTCATCATTTAGCATAGTCAGAGCCAGCCTAGAGTTTTATTTCTTTCTTCATTATGTTGACCACTAAATAGAGGTTTTTTTGCTATTTGTTTTAGTAATAACTGTTCTACACTTAGCATTATTGACAATACTTGGATTTCCTCTTTCCTACTGTCCTTCTCTTTCTCATGATGTATTTCTTTCATTTTCCTGTATTAGCATCAAGCTTAGGACAACAATTCTTCAGAGAGGGCTCGCTGATCGTGCTGTAAATGTTTCAACGGAATGCTTGAAGCTAATGAAAGAGCAATGGCTATCTAACTCTTGTGGAGGAGATCCTATCGAATTTCTTAAATACCTTGACGTTGAAACCTATGAAACTGTAGCAGAATCGGCGTTGGAAGTTCTGTTGAGTGAAGGATTGATAATGCCCTCCGATGATAAAAGCATCCAGCAGTACATATTGTCAGCTGATGGTGAAGCTAGAGGTTTGTTGAAGTCTGGACTGTAAATGCAATGCATAAGTTTGCAGTTTCTTCATGTGCTTATATTTCTTATACCTGTTTTAGATGAGAGCACATGTTCTGCACCAAGCATTCAACTAATGGAGCCAGAGGTTGCTCTTTACTGGAGGATTATATGCAGAAAATTACACAAAAGTGCTCAAGTAAGTTTTCAACTTACCAACTATTTATTGCTGAGGTTAGGTGCTTTATGCTTCAAACAAGGTTTTTCTGAAGCCATAAGGTCTGAAAATTTACTTATTTAGCTTAGTTGGATGATAGTGTGCTTAAAATCGGTTTATTGGTGCTATTGATTAATTTCCTAACTTAGTGCTTGATTCACAATCTCAATATAAATTTTCTGCGATGATTTTCTAAACCTGGTTGGTCACCAGATCTTAAGACCAGTACCTAAAAAGGTGATCGTATTCGTGATCCCCAACCACTATACGTAGAATTTCTATCAAAAAGCATGTCCTGTGATTTCAAGTTACACCTTTACTGCAACATTTTTATTTTTTTTATTCACTCATATCTCAAACAAAACAAGGTTACATAGATCAATGCATCTGAGGAGGGAGCACATTATTACCGTCAAAATACTAAAAAACCTATTGTCAGCTTGCTTCACCTTTTCTTGTATTGAATAGCTTTTTGTTTGAGAACACAAATATGTCCTTTAGGCTGTCCCTGGATTCACTCAAATACTGTCTACTATACAGGCTAGCATTTGAAATATAATTTTTGGGTATTCTTAGTGTTGGTTTTACATATGGGACATGCTAAGAATATGAGACTGTTACACAGGCAAAGGGTTCTGATGCTGCTACTGCGATGGGAGCTGAGGCAGCAGTTTATGCCGCTGAAGCTTCAGATGCTAATGATTTGCTGGAAAGAATTCTTCCTGCAACAGTCTCTGATTATGTTGATCTAGTTAAAGCTCATATAGAAGCTGGTGAGCCCAAATATTTTTTCTAATACCAAAACTTAGTTGCTTTTGTTTGGGAGATACCTCTGCTTACGTATAATATTTTCAGGACCAAATCATCACTTTGCTTCGAGGCAGCTATTATTGTTGGGCACCATGCTTGATTTCTCTGATGCTATGCTCCACAAGACTGCGAGCTCATTTGTCCAGGAGCTGCTACACAGACCTTTTGAGCAAGAATTAGATGAAGATGGGAACAGTATTGTGATTGGAGATGGTATAAACCTTGGTGGTGATAAAGATTGGGCTGAGGCAGTGTCCAAATTGGCTAAGAAAGTCCATGCTGCCCCTGGAGAATATGAAGAAGTTATACTTGTTGTTGTTGAAGAAGTAGCGAGACCCTGCAGGGAAAGGACTGCGGATTTCCTGCAGTGGATGCACATGCTTTCTCTGACAAGTCTTCTCTTAGAAAATGGAAAATCTTTACATTCACTGCAAGGAAAGGCTATTGAACCAGAAGAGATATTGCATGCTCTATTGCTTCCAGGGGTATATTTTCTACTCTCCTCTGTTTATTTCTCAGTGTCATATTTCACTGCTTAGGCGCCAATTGTTTTATTTTCCCTTAAATTTTGACTTTGAAACTATCTGGATAAATTTGTTGAGACTTTGAGTTCTTCTTACTTGTCATGAAGCAGCTTATTTGTCAATATTTAGTTTAAAATGCTGATATTCTATATGATATCTTCATCCTTTTGTTTCATCGAAAAACTGTCAAAAGGTGCTAACAGTTTTAAGGAGTGTTAGTAATGTAGCTAAGAAACTGCTTATCATGCAGTTGAACCATTTTGCATTAAAATCTGGGCATGATTTTCGTGGTCTCTGCAAAAACAAGCACTCTTTCTGATATGATTCTTGTCATGCAGGCAAAACACACTCACTTGGATGTGCAAAGGATTGCTATAAAGGGCCTTGGTCTTTTTGGTTTGTTAGAGAAGAAGCCTAGCGAAGGGCTAGTAAGGCAGCTACGTACAGCTTTTTGCAGAAGCCCTCCTCCAATTAGTATTATGGCTTGCAAGGCACTAGTGGATCTTGGGATGTGGCATAGCCCAACAGAAGTTGACAAGGCAATGGGACAAGATCTCTTGTCACAATTTGAGGACGAAAGCATTGATTTTGCACCCATCGACTTATCCAATGCCGAAGAAGATATGAACTTTAAAATGCTCGATCTCTTGTATGCTGGACTTGAAAGTGATGACTGGAGAGCTTTCACAGAGAGCAGTGAGAATGAGTCAGTTAAAGCAACTGTTGGGGAGGGGTTTGCAAAACTTCTTCTTCTAGGAGAGAAGTACCCAAACTTGCCTGCATCATTCTATCCGTTTGTTTTGGGAAAGCTAATTGCATTATATTTCAGTGAGGAGTCCAAAGAACAACTGAGGTATAGAGATTTTTTTCTTTCGATTGCTAACTTCTGTCACCAGAATAATAGTAAGGATTTGTTCTTTTTATAATGTCCAGGTTTAAACAGTGTTTATCCGTCTTCTTTGAGCACTATGCCTCCCTCTCAGAAAAGCATAAGGTAACGGAAACCATGATGTCTAAAAGAGCAACAGGTTTTAAACGTGTTTGTATATCACTGCTGAATTTGTCATGCAATGCAGGGATACGTGTCAAAGGCTTTTGTTCCTCTCATACGCTCAATGTGGCCTGGGATCTATGGAAACACTAAAAGTTCGTCATATGTTGTATCAAATCAACGCAAGCGCGCAGTCCAAGCATCCAGATTTATTCTACAGATGATGCAAACCCCACTATACAAAAAAGAGACAAGAGGTGAGCCTGAAAGCCAGTTCAATAAATCACCAGAAGATTCTATCCAGCCTCCACTAAACTGTACAGAAGAAGGGTTGGCTATACGCATAGCCATCGAGGTTAGTTGCATTCCTTTGGCTACTATAGCATATTGTTCTCAGGATTACGAAATTTGTTAACCCCTTTGCTAATATTGTTTCTTATAGATGCTAAGCTTCAAAGAAAAGAAGACTGCTGCTGAGAAGGCATATGTTGCAGCGCTGTGCAAAATACTTGTGCTGCTCCATCTGAAACCATCGGATCAAAATGTGATAAAGTTGTTGAAAAAGCTTTTAAGCCTACTCGCAGATTCTGTATGTTCAGAGAAGGAGCTTCTTAAAGAAGTGAAACCGGTGCTTGAACATCTAAAATCTTTGGATGCTTGTCCAAGCGAGGAGCTGACACAAGATCAAGCAAATCCCATCTTTGGTACATTGATCTTTTGCCTTGTACATTACAGTTTGGTTTATTTACACGTAAAGCTAAATTATTCGAGTTGCCCTTTTTATATGCTTTGGAGAATTTGATTGTTTGTTTGTTTCTATTTGCTAATTACAGAAACACTTGGAGTAAGCTACAACTTAGAGATCACGGAAACTACAACAGTGCCACAGACACCTGCTCCTTGCTCAACAAGACCAGCTCGGTCAAGAAGACGAGCAAGAATTGAAGATACATCCTCTGATGAAGAAGAAGAAGTAGCATCTCCTCCACCTTCTGCTCCTAATACTTTGATGACCCGATCACACCGAGCAAGTAAAGCTGTTGCTTTAGCCAAAATAATGGCAAGCAAAGTGAAAATGAGTAATGTAGACGAGGATGATGAGGAAGAAGGTGCCTCTGATGTTACAGCAGATGATTCAGATGAATCTGATGAATAATCATATAGAGTTGAGTTAGGGATGGGTTCTGTTGTTTGTACGTTTGTTACCAAGTTGATGTGTGTTTTGTGTCAGCTGTGAAAAGATTATAGACATAGATCTCTTCTTGTAAGTTGTCACCATATCGTTGCTTGTCATATGTGTGAGTCTCGGTTATGTTTGCTGTCGAAAATCTTTGGATTTGGAGAAGACAAAAAAGTATGAGAAACTAAAAATGTTTACATTATTTTCTTCTCCAAAAGACCAAAACAAACAAAACTACGTATGAAAAGAAAAAACTAGATTCTGCAGAAATCAATTTGCCAAAGGCTCAGGTTGGTTCAGCCAATCAAACTCACTCTTTGGGTGCACTTTAAGATTTTTATCCACTGACCTCTCAATATTAACATTGATTCTCCACAACACATACTTACTTTCCATTTTCATGCCTTTGATCGCGTAGAGCCTCCAAAGCAAACCCTTAAGGAATCGGTATTCGCAAGCCATGTACCAGTCCCATTGTTTCTCCACAATGCTTTCAAGATCTCTGAAAGCTCTCCTCACAAGTCCAACTTCCATTCCTCTTTCCACAAGCTCTCTCACTGAATCTATCATCTTATGTGCAATCTCCTTAACGTATCCAGCGTAACTTGTGATCCCTAACAAGTGAATAGCTGAACAGTACGCACCCGTAAACGCCAAGACCCAGCTACTGTTATCTACCAACAACTCCTTTGGTGGGGTTAGGTTTCTGTGAATCTCTGGAAGAAGATTAGTTATCGCAGGAACCACAATATCTTTAAACTCAAGCCTCATTGTTAAACACTGGAAGATATAAACCGCTTTCTTGAACTCTGCTTTGCTTTCCGAACCAATATAGTCCCATAGATCGAACCACGGGTCTTTTTCGTAAGTGAATGTCTCCTGCGCAACGTGGAACACCACCTTACCAAGAATCTTGTATATGTTCTCAGGCATTCCTTCTTCCTTAAGGCAAGTGATGAGCAATGGCTGAAGATCTCTAATCTCTGCAACATCTATTTCAAACAGGCTTGAAGTATGATCACAAAGTGAATCATAGAGTCGTTTGATAGCTATCTCTCTAGACCTATAATCAGAACCAGATGTTGCAAAGAAACTCAACACTTCCATTGGAGTACGTTGCCAAAAGTAGTAGTATAATTCACGGTCAGATTCCACTCCAAGATCTTGATTATCAACGCGAAAGAGTTCGAGTGTAAAGGCTGGATTCGGAACATACTTATCCATATTCGTAACCATTACAAAGATCTTCTTAGCTTCTTCCTTTGTATTTGTTCCAACTCCTGCGATCCCATAAGCAAACGCTGCCACGAAACCGCATTGTTTGCTACTCCATTTACACAATTTCGCTTCTTTCGCAAGGTACTTATCGAGATATTGAAGCCCTCTTATCAGAAACTCTCTTTCCATCCCCATCCACATAACATCAATAGCAGATTTCATAACATTGTGAAGAATCTCTCTCCTCAAATCGAATTTCGTTTCCGAATCCGAAATCTCAATCCCCATTTTAACAGCAGATGTCAAAGCCAAAACCCAATCTTCTTCTTTATCTTTCTCAGGATGAAGCAAAACCTTAAACACTTCCTCACGTAACTTCTCCAAAAACCGGTTAATAAAATCCCCGTAAAGCGATGGCAATTCGATGAAGTAATTAAACGCCCTAATCGAATCTTGATTCACAAGCAACAGTATATACTCACTAAGCTCTTCCCATCTTCCATTATAAGAAACCATAACATTCTCAGCTACGAAAGAAACAATGACTCTTAAGAACGTAGTATCACATTTTCTTGGATTTTGCCGTGTTAAGCAAGAAATCAAAATAGGTTTGATTTCATGGAGAGCGATAAGAGAGAGTTGGAACTTGTGGTTTCTTAAACCGGGGAGAGTTTCAGAGAGGTAACAGATTGATCGGAGTCTAACGACTTCATCGGAAGAATGAAGATAGATCTTGAGAAGCTTTAGGGTTAAGCAATTTGGGAAGTTAGAGACGAAGAAATCGTAGAGAGTACGAGCTGCTTTGTATTCTTCGGATTGTTTACGTGTAAAGAGTTGATCGATGATCATTGTTAATCCTTCGTGGCTTGGAGTCGCAAGAATCTCTCTCGCTTTCATTGAGAGATTTGGTGGAGGATCAGCCATTGAAGTTTCTGTAATTTTCTTGAGAAAGTTTTGGATCTTTTGTTATCAGAAAATGAAAGAAAGAGTTAGAGAATTTGAAAGTGGTTGTTGCAATTATTATGCCGAAACTGAATCTAATGACCGGACTTAATCCAAACCGGAACCCAATAGTTTTGTGTTTAAAAAGAATATGAAAATACCTTTTATTTGATAACAAAATGTTAGAAAAATATTTAATATTTTCATGAAATGAAAAAAAATCTAAAATCTAATAATTCAAAATGGAAATATTACAGCATAATAATAATAAATCTTAAAACCTTGAGGTCATAAACATGCTATTTTCATTATTGATCAATAGATCGTGCCCGGCCTATACCGTTATTTGGTCCTAGGTCTCACTCATGAAGAATTTCAATGGAGAAACACCACACTACGTTATATGAACCAAGTTACTAATATTACGAATAAACACAAAATCAGAAGTTCAAAAATTACTTAGTGGACAAAAAGAGGCCAGATTTGAAGCAATGAAGTTGTTGGTAATTGGATACGTCAGAATTTGTTGATGAATGAAGTGAAATTTATATTTTCGGAGAAATTATTGATGAAGATAATTCATATTTGGAATTTAATCGTTGATTATATTTTGAAAAAAAAAAACACCAGGTTTAATAAGATGAGTTTAAGTAAGCATAACTGCAAAATGGTGATATGGTCAAACAGGAATAGGATGGATGAACAGAGAGGTGATGAGATCTTTGAGCTTTCCATGCGGATTGGAGAATTCATCAATACCATCCTTGCAAAACACATCGATCAAGCGTGCAATGTTGAGGCAACGCACCCGAACTTGTCGTGGCACATCAGTTGTCGTCAACAACTCCTCCATGACTATCTTATAGTTATCTCTAGCCATCTTACTCAATTCTTCAACCGCTTCTTCTTTAGTAACACCGTATTGATTCATGTAAGAGTTGACCCCATTCACCACCTCTCCTTTTCTCATCTCTCTCTGCCCATTGTATATATATACCCATAGAGTTTATAAGTATGCAAGACTAACGGCACATATATAGCAAAGAAAAAGAATATACAAAGACCATTATTCCTTTAATCTTTCAGTTGGTATTATACCTCGTAGGTGACGATGTCGTTGTTTATACGATACATATAGCACAAAGCTTGGAATATTTTTGGCTTGGAGTTGAACCATTCGTACAATGGTTTCTCGTCACAATCTTCCATCGCGATAAAGGTGTACAAAGCAAAATCATCCATCCCTCCGGTGACCAGCCCAACCTCCATGTACTCATCAAAGGTTGGCACGTGACCTTCACTTACCCATTTTGATAATGCTAGGTATGCTCTCCCTAGGCTCTTAGTCTAAGGATTTCATTTGAAAAAAAAAATCTTAAATAAAAATAAACACTTATTTTAATATGGTTCTTACCCTTTCCACAACACTTATGTATAATTTGTTGGTCTATTAATTACCTCATCTATCGTCTGTTGTATAGCAGATCTTCCTCGGGGCTTCATTTCTCTTTCAATCTCTCCAATAGTTTCCAATATTAATCGGACGACTATTCTCGAATAGCTTTGTAGTTCGTCAATCCCTTCAAGATCCCACCTGCCCAATTTTGCCATTCCATATAAACCTTATTAAAGTTATTTTCAGTTAAAGACAAAGTGAGAGAAATAAGTTTTTCCATATCCTCACAATTGCCTTATGTTTTATTTAAACTATATCTTTGTGTTAGAACATACCTCGAATAATAAAATATTTGAAGTTCATACATGTATTTTATGTTTTGTGTCAAATCATGCATACGTCCTAATCTCGACTACGTGGATTTGTTTTATTCGAGTTTGTGGGAGAATTGGTTTTTTATACTTCCACAACAGCAATCTTTTAAATTTATAAATGAACTATATTATTGTGCTAAAACTTACCTTAAATAATTAAAATTTTAAATTCCAGACATATATATACTTCATGTTTCGGATAAAGACAAACACTTGAAATCACAAGCTAAAACAATGCCGTATTGTAATAACAGAATGGATTTAACCTCGTTTTATGGTTCTATATTCTTCTTTCTCTCGAGTGAAGAATAGGCTTGGGCAAAAACCGAACCTGAAAACCCGAACCGGAACCAACCCGAAAAATTGGTTCGGATCAGTTATGGGTATAACCAAATTACCCTATTGAATCATCAGCTTACCCAAATTACCCTATTGGGTCATGTACATGTTTACCCGTGAGTATTGGTTCGGGTCCGGATATTACCGATACCCGAACGGGGATTCGATTACTCATGATTTCTCCAAGCAAATAACCGAATATCCAAAATATTTGTATCCAATACTACCGGATAATCGTACGAATATTCAAATAACGAAGATTATCTGAATGGGTACCTGAATATCTGATATATTTGTATATTTTTGGAGTGTTTTGTACCCGATTCTATCCAAATCCTAGCAAAATACTTGATATTTAATTCAAATCCCTGAAAAAAATACAAGTATTTTGGGTATCGGGTTTAATTAGGTACAAAATACCAAATATTTCACAAGTAATTTAAATTTACTTGCAAACTCAAGAAAGAAGGATGAAATAAATTTGTATGGAATTTAAATGTTTGTAGTTGTGGAGGTATGAAAAAAGTCAATTTCTCCACAAACTAGTATAAAACAAATCCATGTAAGTGCACACGTGGATTCCACGTAGTCGTATTTCGGGTGTATGCATGATTTTGCACAAAACATTAATATAATGCAATTGTGGGGTATGAAAAAGCTAATTTCCCGACAGAATGACTTAGAGTTAAGTGTTTTTTAAAGAATAATAAATAAAAAAATCCACAAGTCATAAACGATAAGTGGATGCATATAGTACCTTTGCAAAGAATCAATGAGACTTTTAACTTGGGGAAAAGTAGCATATGAATCACAGGTGTCATCCAAAGTAACCACGACGTTCATTATTTTGGCCACTATAATTCTCCCAAGTGAAGATCGTGGCTCGAAATGTATTCCCAATGCAGAGAAATAGGTCTCCACAATTCTATCCCTCACGTAAGGAAGCTTAGAGGGGATATCTAGATCTTTCCACCATCTGCAAAGAAGAAACCAAAAAAAAAAGCTTCAAATATTACAAGGACGCACGCATAGAGGTCAATCATTATGAGTTCCTTCACTCACACGGCACAAGAATCTAACAAACCCACAAATGACAAATCTATTAGAGATAGACCAAAAACAGTGTCTATAATTTTGAGGTGACTTAATAGAAAGAACATGTAACCTTATCAGTTATAAATAGTCTTGATTTTTAATAAATTAACAGAATAATAAAAATCAAAACCATAAATCCTAACACTTAATCTAAAAAAGTAAAGAAAAGAGTGTAGTATAATATGGTGGTCACATACTTGGTGAGTGTTTTGAGCTCTTGTATGTAAAGCAAACGGCAATAGTTGAAGTTGAGCTTTGCAAACTTGAGAAGCGTCAGGTCATGACCTTCTTCTTGGTTATAGAAAGAGATGTATTCTCTTGCGACTAGTATTTCCATGTTATATGATATCGAGCTCTGTACAAGGCGTTACGAATATGTGAGGAGAGATGTGGAGGAATAGTAGTACTATTTACCAAAGACTCCAACTGGTTCCTAGTGAAACTCTTTGCTTCCTCCATTATATCTTCAGAGGGTGTCCCAAGATGCGCTGCTTGGTATAATTGTAGCATTCCTCTAACATCCGCGACTAGACTCTCCTTGAACCTCCCATCTTTACCTTTGAATCTTACGAAGGTATCTATAATGAAACCGATAGATATATATAGCCAATTATCATGTTATATATAGATTCGAATGTGATGATTCAAGGAAAATTATATTGTTACCGCATGACATCTTGTGTTGATACAGTCGAAAAACCTCAAACATGATAGAGATTGTTTCCAAATCGTCTTCCTCGGATATTATCCCGTCCAACTCTTTAAAACTCTGGTTTAGGATCATCTCGATCTCGGTCTCAAAGTAATGCGAGATACCAAGGCTTATAAGCAAATGGATTAACCGAATCTTGTCCTTGTTACTGTTGTGAGAAGAGATGAGCTTGCCTCTCACGTTTGGCTTCATCACCGATTCAATCTCTTTCTCTATTTTATCAAATTCCTACGAAGATAAACAAATATATGATCAAGAATCATTTTACTTTCTTTTTTTGTATGAATGTAAAATTATATACAATAAATAAATGCGACTTTTGTTTTGAAAAGCATGAAAAAATTAAACAACTTAGATATTGTTACTACTACGAATCATGTTCTCTGGATGGATACAAATACTTACGGAATCGTCGACGGAAAGTGAGAGGAAGTAATCTCCCCAAAAAGTGGGAGCAAAGTGGGTCAAAGGACGACCACTCTCAAGATCATCACTAGTCGAACTCTTAGTATTAGCCTTAACGCAGAAAAAGTGAGGTTTCATGGGTTTTAGAGAAAGAGAAGGGCGAGAAAACAGAGAGTGGCTGGTCTTAAGAAACAGAGGAGGTTGGTTAAGGTCAGAGAGAGTTCCGAGCCCAAAAACTGTTCTTGCTGCTTCCATTCTGTTTCACGTAAGTTACTCTGTTTTTAGGTTTCTTTCTATTCAAAAAGCTTTCTCATTTCTGCTGTTCTTTTTCCCCTTATAGTAAACAAGGAAGCTACGTCACGTGATTCACGTGGTCAACGACCAGGAAACGTTTAATGAATATAGTGTAAAAATAAAAACTTATCTTCGGTTTTGATACACCGGGAAACATGGTAGGGAAAATGTCAGACGAACAATTATTAATTTGATTTAGTTTACCGGTCACGTGACCTATTCAATATCTCTTTCTTTCCCAAGTGCATTCAATTCCTTTCAAATTACGACGTAACATGGTTTATGTTGAATAGTACTCCCTCCGTTTCATATTAAATATTGTTTTAGACTTTGAATTTTGTTTTAAAATAAGTGTCGTTTTGTGTTTTCAATGCATATATTTGGTAAAATTTCCATTTTTATCCCTATTAATTTAATATATTGACCAATGAAAAATGATATAGTATACAGATAAGGGATAAAACAGAAAATTTAATTGTTTTCGTAATATGTGAGCAAAAACCTTAAACGACACTTAATATGAAACAGAGGGAGTATATTATTATTGGAAATTATTCTAGATTCTTTAATAATTGGTTTTTTGACTTGTAGAATAAAAAAAAATTTTGGTCAAATCTTGGAACTATATTATTGTTTGCCTTTTTGTCATTTTGTGTGTTTAAAGAATTATGTGTTTCTTTACATATACATGGAATTGTGCCTAATGATTTCGTCTCTAACGTTAACGTTGTTATTGTTATTTATGTTATTCCTTATTAGAAAAGGAAAGAGACGTTGTCTTCTTCGTTATAATGAAGAAGACGTGTTCTTCATTGGAAAGATACACAAGAATACAAGATTGCTGTTAAAACAGAGAAACCAGAAAACAGAGTTGTGATAACTTGTGTGAAGCTTGTGTTGCTTTTGAGTTTGGTGAGAGATCACCTTGGAAAGAAATTGTTGTTGGTGTGAGGTGCACAAAGTAAATACTTCTCCAAGAAAAAATGCATAAATGATTAAATGGGAATAGAATGAGTTTACTTGTTTAATCATAGTTCATGTTCTTAGATACATGAATTAGAATTTATGTAGAAATTCTAAGTCTATCTTGTACTTCTCAAAATGATCTTATAAACTCTTGTTGCAGCCGAGGACTAATGGTTAGTTTGAAAAAGAACCAACGATAACACGTTAAATCTCGTGTCGTTTCTATATTGTTTATTATTAAGCTTCCTTACTATTTCAATATCTAGTCACTCTCAGTTTTTTTACAGTTTATGAATCGTGTTCTGCAACAAGAACCACATCGGGTCGACTGGTTTTGGTCCGTGTACATACGGAGGTTCGTCTCGTAAGATGGACATCACTCTGAACGTCACGTTAGCTAGGTTTTTTGGGCCCGAAACCCATTCTTTCTGCTGCCACGATTTTTAGCAAGTAATGGTATTTGTTGAAATATGACGTTAAGTTTCAAAAAACACAATAGTAAAATGCAAACCTGAAAACACACAGAGAGATGATCACAACTTAAATGGTTCACAAGAAGCAAAGACCAGAGATCGAACTAAAGGGAGATTAGATGCGTTGAGGATATGATCTGTTGATACAAAATATCAGAGCAATGTAGCTAGCAAGAGCCATCAGAGGCGCTGCCTTATTCAGATGAAACCTTAGAAGCTGTTCCTCTGCTTCTCTGCTTAGTTTCTCTGCAACTTCCCTCGATATCTCCAACCCTATCAGCCTTGGATACGTCAGCTTTCCGGCCATTAAGTCTTTTCCGGCAGTCTTACCCAAATCCTCAGTAGATTCCGTTACGTCAAGAATGTCATCAACCACCTAAAACAGTAGTCCAATACATCTCGCATACTTTCTAAGCTTCTCGATCTCTTCCTCTGTTCCATCTCCCATTATGACCCCTAAAACAGCCGCTGCCTCCAACAATGCCGCCGTTTTGTGGAGATGGATGAATTCTAGACGCTCCAATTTAGCGTTGTGTGGATTCAATCTTTCGCTGCTTAGGTCAGTTACTTGCCCTGCCACTAACCCTTTTGTCCCTATGACCCTTGCAAGCTCAACGCGAATCATCCTCTCGGGAGCGACCAACCCACTCGACGCAACCGTCATGTGCTCAAACGCCAAAGCAAGGAGTGCATCACCCGCCAAAACCGCCATGTCTTCTCCAAATACCTTGTTTGAGCAAAAATTGGTTCATCGCTAGTGAACATTAATCAACATCAATGAATGATTCAACTATAGTGAGCATTTCTCTAAGCCTCCATATGATTTAGCAACATACCTGTTAGAGAGAGTCCATCTTTCCATCTACTGCATACGTGTTAGAGAGAGTCCCATTATTTGAATGTTAATCTTTACAGGTTCAGCTCATCAAGAAACTTCATCAGCATTTCTTAAAAAAATCTGAATCGCAAATCTGAACTAAAATCCGAAGAACACGATCGATCCCTTTGATGAATCGATGAAGATCAGCGGAAGTGGAATGAAGAATTTTGATTAGGCTCTGATACCATTTCAACTTTTCCCATGAACAAGAACAAGAAAGATAAACAAGAATCTGGGAAAAGATAATTTCTTCATTCAAGTGTAAAATGAGATACAAATCAAGGTTAAATACAATTGAAACTAAACCACTATACTAACCGAACTATACAAGAGAGTAAACCAAGGTAAATCAACTATATACATTCTCTAATACTTACTAACTTGGTTTTGTTATGAAGAGTCATGCAAGTGGTTAGCAGTGCAACAAACCAATCAAAAGTTTCATCAGCATGCTCTGTACATGTCTTCAAAGCCATCTTCATATCTCACAGACTGGCTAGACAAATCGGCTAAGCATCCACAGCGGTTAATCTGCGTCGAGATTTTGTAATCAGTGTTAGCTTTTGGAAATACTGAATACCTTGAACTAGACCTACATGGTTCAAGTGGTGAGTGTTCTGTTAAGGTAACTTCGCATTGACAGCAAAACCTACAAACAACTTCTTAATTTGGTTTGGTTTTATGTGCTATGTTTTTGCTCTGTTTTATGTTATCTCATCCACTTCCTCACTAGCTTTATCAGGTAGCTTCAGAAGAATGTCACTTATCAAGTCAGAATCTCATATTAACAGCACTTTCTAAAGCCAAGGTCCAAATCTTTGGCCTTATCTTGCTCATGACCTTGTAAGCTGGTCTTTGCAGAAATCAGTAGAATAATCGAGGAAATTCTTTTTAATAGTTCATATAATTTAGTTATGAACTCATGGATCATAGAAAGGCTAGGGATTTGGTAACTTAAACAAGCAACAACATAATAACAAAATAAAATAAATTCTAAGACAGCAGAATACAACAAGAATCTAGGCCTGGGCATAATACCCGAACCAGAATCCGAATCCGAAGTTTTAAAATACCCGAATGGGTCTTAGCTAGTTTTCTAAACCCGAAAAACCCGAACCCGAAAAACCCGACCCGAACCCGACCCGAATATCCGAATGCCCAGGCTTACAAGAATCCTAAGAAAATCAGCGTCACATTAAATTGGAAAAAAATGTCAAATTACAATGGTTCATTGATAATAAAGAAAAGAAACCAAATTAATTTGATAAAACAGATACTAAACTTTCCATTGATGTCCAATAACAAGAGATACTAATTAAACTTTCGAAATAATAAAGAAAATCTCCATGGGAGGTAGGCTGATAGACTAAATCATAAGATTTGGTATGGAGATCATGTATCACGAGTGGGTCTGCGACACCACAACCTTGAAGCAATAACTTTTTCTTCTCCAGGATCGCTATTGGTAATGCCGGATCGCAGGGATCCCGAAACCAAGACATACTTTTGGTGAAATCTAGCGAACAAAATTTCTTCCATGTCCCCGAATCGAACGACCATATCACTTGTTGGAGCCAACTTAACTCGGAAACGCACAAGCGGTTATCAAGAATGCACATGTTGATTTTTTTAGGGTTAGGTAGATGGTCAAAGGGAGCTTTAGTGATGACTTGAAAAGTTTCCTTGTGAAGATCGAAACATAGTATTAGTACATTGGTTTCTTCTTCAGTTAACCAATAAAGTGACCCATCTAAATACTCTGGATTGTGGTTTCCAGGAAGAATCCGATAAGGAGAGGCAGGCACAACGTACCTCCAAGCGTTAGTGCTAAAATCGAAAACTTCACAAGTAGTAACATTGTCTAGGCCACGTTCATGTGAGTTATACAAATCAACCAGTTTATACGTGCCCGCGAACTTGTCTTTACCGAATCCAAGCAACGGATCACTTATGAACTGTTGAGAATAAGATTTAGGAATACGTAGTTGCCATTTAGTGACGGGATTCATCACGATAATCGGTTCTGTGCTAGAGTGGAGGCATATAAGACCGTCACAAGTACCATGGCCTTGCGAGTAGTAGCTAAGAGGGATCTTGTTGATCGTAGTAACAATGGACGACCCCAACTCAACTCTCGTTCTTGGATAATCAAAATCTTCAAAGGGTACGAATAAGACATCTGGATCTTGTGATTGCATGCGACGGATCAACTGTTCTTGTTGGAAACGTTGGGACTCGATTGTTGATTTCCATGTCTTGGATACGGACTTGAATCTTGATAGAGGTTTCACAGAAAGTCTTTGGAGGATTAGCTCTACGACATGGTGTGGTAGCAATTCCATACACGAGGTCATTTTCTTGTCTCAAAACTGATCAAGACACGATGGATGATGGATCTACGCTTATTATATATATATATACACGAGGCTGAGCCAGAAACCGGGAAAAAAAAAGGAAAACTTCAATTCTTTCGATTAACAAAGGAAAATCTCAACACTTTCCTTTTTTATTTTTTAAAGAAAATTATCTATTACGTTTGTGAATATAAATATCTCTCAAGAAAATAAATATTACGGATTTTTATCAAATCAAACCACAATAACAAAATAATAACAAATAATGATAGTGGGCATCAAACATTGGTTTTTTTTTTTTTTTAATTCAGAAACGTAAGCAGATCTTCTTCTAGATAATTTATTAGCGTAATGCAGAGTCGCTCTTTTTCTCCATGCATGATCTGGAGAATTTGATATATTCAGAAACAGTCCACGTGAACAGTGCCTTGCTCAACAAGAAACAGTAGTATCACTCTACCTACAACAGTGCCTTGCTCAACAAGAAAGAGTAGGAGTAAGCTTTTAGTGAAGTGCTATGAGAATTAAGGTACATAAGTTTCTTCTTCAACACAAACTATACAAGGAAAAACTGAATTGCCTAAGTGTCATGTTGGTTCAAAATCCATTTTTGTCGTTGAAGGTAATGGTGATCTTGAATGTTATATAATTGTGGAAAAATCCTTTGCTCGAATTAAGAAATAACATCATTATTTTTTAACCCTTAATAGTTTGAAAACGTTATCTAATTTCAAAACTTAAATGTTGGTATCCATAGTGCATGCAAAAATTCAAAACTATTAATAAATTCACATTGCTAATTTCACAAATTTTAAAATATTTTTTAATTCACATGAAGATGCCTTAACTTTCATAACAAACAAAAATATAGAAAAATATTTTGGGTTTCTGAAAAAGAAAATATTAAAATATTTTATATTTCTATCAAAATAAAATAAACCGGTCTCATAAAAAAAATAGAAAAACTATCTAAAATAGTAAATTTTAATTCAAATGAAATTATTACACCCTCTAGAAATAAAAATACAAATCATAACAATATATATAGATACCTTTATAGTTTATTGAATTGATCATGAGAAATCTTAATTAGTCAAAAATTCTAAAATCTAGTTGAATATACATACATATACATATATATATACATATACATATATATATATACATATACATATATATATATATATACATATACATATATATATATATATATACATATACATATATATATATATATATATATATATATATATATATATATATATTTACCTTTAGAGTTTATTGATTTGCTCATGAGAAATCTCAATTTAGTCAAAAAAAAATTAAAATCTAGTTGACTATGCAATGTATAGAAAGGTTGTTACTAGTTTAAAGAAAGATAAGTCACTTTTATTATTGTTACAAATTAAGACCTATGAACAATTTAATAACTAAAAAAGAAATATCATGAGAAATATCAATTAAGTCAAAACAATTTAAAATTTAGTTATGAATTGTATAAAAAGTTATTTTCAAATATATATATGAACTACCGCCAGTCGGATACAATGCAACTCGTGTGTAAGAACTTTTAAGGACTCGATGCTCCTAAGACCATCTCCATTTCAAGGTTTTTAACTTTGTTCTTAGCTTAATTATGATAAAAATTAAATGTGTAATTGGTTTATTAGGTAAGAGTTGATTCTTATATAAGAGTCAAAACTAAGGTTAAGAGGCGGTAGCATGTCAATCGTCCATAGGCTGAAGAGAAAATATAAAAGGGGAAAAAGAGAATCGTGTGTTTCTCTATCTTCTTCTCCTCTCTCTCTTTTTCGCGCGATTCTCTTCTCTGGCGACCATGGAGGCGATTTTGCGTTTAAACATCGGAGACTTTTCCGCTGTTTACGACCTCCGGCCGTTCTACCGCAGTTATCTCACCATCTCCACCGACGCGGGGTGTCCACGATGACAAGGAGAAGCTCTAATCGGCGAGTTTGGGATATCGAAATCGAAGAGTAATTTCACAAGATTTCCGATTTTTTAAACAAATCGGAGTTAATCCTTCACCAATCGGATTGTCATGATAGGAATCTCTCTCTGCATGTATGAATTGATGTTGTTTGAGTGTGGGAAAATTAGGGTTCATCGAAATGGGGAAATCAGGGTTTTGTAGTTTTTTTAAAATTAGGATAATTTGCATATTTAATCTTGTATGTCTCTATAGTTATGCATGATTTTAAATAGGGTTTACATCAATTACTCTTCGATTTAATCCGATTGTTGGCGTAGATAGTTTTGTTGCATCAGTGTTGATGATTGTTTCGATTAACACTTTGTGGGATCTTAATTTCATTCTATAATTTTATTAGTGTTTGTTGGTACACGAATGAGTGTTAGGTTTCTTTGAGATTTATGTGTTGAAAATGATGAGGTTTTGATCAAAAGTTCTCTGTTTTATTTTGAGGTTTATATGGAGATGAATTGAGATGGAATTTGGTACATATTCACCATTTAAGAAAGATAATGCATCGTCATGTTCTTCTTTGAATTTTTTAACACATAGATTAGGTAAGAATGGAGTTGTATTGATTGCTTTGTCTCTGTTTTGTTATTAATGCATTTTAGTTTGCCTTGTATTGATTCTTTTCTCTCTGTTTAGATGTCAATAAGTCCTTGTCTACAGCATACTTACCATCATACATCATAAATGGTAATTACGACAGCAATTTGATTCATATTCTCTGTTTTATTTTGAGGTTATATGAAGGAACAAGGACACATGAATTGAGATGGAAACTGCAACCTTTACAATACTAAAGACTGGTAATGCATCGCCTTTCCTTGTATTTAGTTTTGAGATATAGATTAGGTCAGATTTGAGTGATGTATTGATTGTTTTGTCTTTGTTTTGTGATAAATGCTTGTAAGTGTCTTTTTATTGATGTATATGTGTATGTTTTGTGAGTTGTTAGTAGATGATAATTAGAAATGTCTCAATCAAACATAATGACTGCTTAGTGTTCAATGCTTGGTTGTTTAGATTTAGGTTAAGACTTTAGTTTCTTGCATTGAATGCTAACAACACAACTTAAACTTTCACCTAAAAGAAACTTAACATGTAAATTAGTTTAACCCATCATAAACCACAAACCTTATATAACCGCAGCTAGTCCTAAACCTAACAAACCACAACTCTTTCATTCTCCTTTTAAAACACTCAGAAAACAACAAC